GCTAAGTTCCAGTTCTTGTTTCTCCAAGCTTGTAATTGTCGAGGACACAATAGCAAAGTTAGACTTGATAAATGCTAAATTTCCTTCGATTTTATCAGAAGCGAACACGTTTAGCGCTATCTTAATTGATGCAGCATCTTCTGAATCAAAACTACTGACGATAGACTTCACTATCTTAAAATTTTCACTGTAGTATACACATGCATTCAACCAGGTACCTCATCGTGTGATTACTGATTTAGGGGGCAAAGCTGATTAGGAGCAAATGCTTTGAAACAGTCTAGAGCATAAATATATGCTCTAGCAAATGTTTTGAAACATTCCTTGAGAGTTACAATATGAAATGTAAAATTATAAGACAAATCTTGCATTTCATGTAATAAAAATACCCAAAAAAATAATAAAAATTGGAAAAAATTAACAAAAGCCTTAAAAATGCTTTAAAATGTAAAATACGCCACAAAATTTTAAAAAAATGCGCTATAAATCTAAATAAATGCTCTAAAAGACAAAAAATGTAAAAAATGCAAATGTCATCAAAATCCGGGCCTTAATTACCATTTTTAATTTCGTAAACAATCAGAACACCAATATTAAAAGTGGAGGAATAAACACTTCTTGACGCATATTAATTTTTCTTTGTCCGAAAAATCAAAACTCTCCCGTAAAAAAATAAGGTAAAATCTGGCAAATAAATCCGGATGAACTCTGGAATCATATGCAAAAATGGAATAATTATTTTATTATTTCTAATAACTCGTTCAAAAAATACGTCGAGGGATTTCACCGTTTCTCACGCTTGGATAAGGGAAAACCTAAAATGTTAATTCCAGCATACTTTAATCGAAACTTAGATCTATATGCATGTGCATTGCATATATGTTGATTGAGTACAGTTTCGAATATTTAATGAATATTATCAAAAATTAACTTTTCTCACCATTGCTAAAAAAAAAAATTTCGGGAAGAACATATAACGAATTTTTATAGTAAGAACTAAAAAGAATTAAGAAAAAAAATTTGAAAACAACTTGTAGATAAAGTTGCAATAGTAAAATGATTAGGTTTAAGCTTTACTCCAAAATAATCAGGAGCAAAATTGCGTAACTACAATAAGAAATGTAGGACATTTTTGATTCAATAATGTTTAACTCAATAACTAAGAATCTGCTAATAGTAAAGAAACAAAAATGAACGTACGTCCATCACTAGGGTTGGTGAGCGACGCATTTAGGGGAAGAGCTCATATTGTATAAATGAGAAAGGTATTGCTTGTGAATATATCTTGATTGTATCTAGATCATGTCAATATCATGTCAAGATCAAATATCGATATTTGTAGAATATAAAAGGAGTAAAAATTTACCATTCTTTAACGTGTGATTAAACATTGAATAGGTGAGGAACAATTGATTTCAGAAGTTAGAGCTATGTCTTTTTTATCGTTCCTGTCTATTTTGCGCCATTGCATCATTATATTAGCACTTTATTTACAATAAATAAATATATTTAATTGGATTAAAAAGTAAATCAAATGTGTATTGGTGATCGAAATGGGCTGCAGGTGGCGTAGAGCAAAACTCTCTACCTATGGCAACACTTCACATGCTTTCCCCATTAGCGTGTGGAGAGTCATAGAGGAAGGAAGTACGTTAGTTTCTCCCTTGATTTTCATATAGATTAAATTCTTTTAAGTTGGAACTAAATGGAACTGAAAACTACATTAAACACAGTTCTAAAGAAAAGTATCACGGAAATTTTAAAAAATATTTTTATTAAATAAAAGGGAAATTATCGCAGTGCATTCCTATAAAACTGAAAAGAGGAGGAGAAGGAAGGGAGCAGGGTTAAAGCCATGAAACCGGTCTTTCCCCAATGGCGTATGCAAGTGTTGCGATTGCCAATATATATATATATATATATATATATATTGGCAATCGCAACACTTGCATACGCCATTGGGGAAAGACCGGTTTCATGGCTTTAACCCTGCTCCCTTCCTTCTCCTCCTCTTTTCAGTTTTATAGGAATGCACTGCGATAATTTCCCTTTTATTTAATAAAAATATTTTTTAAAATTTCCGTGATACTTTTCTTTAGAACTGTGTTTAATGTAGTTTTCAGTTCCATTTAGTTCCAACTTAAAAGAATTTAATCTATATGAAAATCAAGGGAGAAACTAACGTACTTCCTTCCTCTATGACTCTCCACACGCTAATGGGGAAAGCATGTGAAGTGTTGCCATAGGTAGAGAGTTTTGCTCTACGCCACCTGCAGCCCATTTCGATCACCAATACACATTTGATTTACTTTTTAATCCAATTAAATATATTTATTTATTGTAAATAAAGTGCTAATATAATGATGCAATGGCGCAAAATAGACAGGAACGATAAAAAAGACATAGCTCTAACTTCTGAAATCAATTGTTCCTCACCTATTCAATGTTTAATCACACGTTAAAGAATGGTAAATTTTTACTCCTTTTATATTCTACAAATATCGATATTTGATCTTGACATGATATTGACATGATCTAGATACAATCAAGATATATTCACAAGCAATACCTTTCTCATTTATACAATATGAGCTCTTCCCCTAAATGCGTCGCTCACCAACCCTAGTGATGGACGTACGTTCATTTTTGTTTCTTTACTATTAGCAGATTCTTAGTTATTGAGTTAAACATTATTGAATCAAAAATGTCCTACATTTCTTATTGTAGTTACGCAATTTTGCTCCTGATTATTTTGGAGTAAAGCTTAAACCTAATCATTTTACTATTGCAACTTTATCTACAAGTTGTTTTCAAAATTTTTTTCCTAATTCTTTTTAGTTCTTACTATAAAAATTCGTTATATGTTCTTCCCGAAATTTTTTTTTTTAGCAATGGTGAGAAAAGTTAATTTTTGATAATATTCATTAAATATTCGAAACTGTACTCAATCAACATATATGCAATGCACATGCATATAGATCTAAGTTTCGATTAAAGTATGCTGGAATTAACATTTTAGGTTTTCCCTTATCCAGGCGTGAGAATCGGTGAAATCCCTCGACGTATTTTTTGAACGAGTTATTAGAAATAATAAAATAATTATTCCATTTTTGCATATGATTCCAGAGTTCATCCGGATTTATTTGCCAGATTTTACCTTATTTTTTTACGGGAGAGTTTTGATTTTTCGGACAAAGAAAAATTAATATGCGTCAAGAAGTGTTTATTCCTCCACTTTTAATATTGGTGTTCTGATTGTTTACGAAATTAAAAATGGTAATTAAGGCCCGGATTTTGATGACATTTGCATTTTTGGACATTTTTTGTCTTTTAGAGCATTTTTTTAGATTTATAGCGCATTTTTTTAAAATTTTGTGGCGTATTTTGCATTTTAAAGCATTTTTAAGGCTTTTGTTAATTTTTTCCAATTTTTATTATTTTTTGGGGTATTTTTATTGCATGAAATGCAAGATTTGTCTTATAATTTTACATTTCATATTGTAACTCTCAAGGAATGTTTCAAAACATTTGCTAGAGCATATATTTATGCTCTAGACTGTTTCAAAGCATTTGCTCCTAATCAGCTTTGCCCCCTAAATCAGTAATCACACGGTGGGGTACCTGGTTGAATGCATGTGTATACTACAGTGAAAATTTTAAGATAGTGAAGTCTATCGTCAGTAGTTTTGATTCAGAAGATGCTGCATCAATTAAGATAGCGCTAAACGCGTTCGCTTCTGATAAAATCGAAGGAAACTTATCATTTATCAAGTCTAATTTTGCTATTGTGTCTTCGACAATTACAAGCTTGGAGAAACAAGAATTGAAATTTTGCGATGCAATAAATTATATTGATGTAGTGAGTCGAGTGTTGCAAAAAGCAAGGGGAAAAATAGGACAAAGTGTAGCAGCTAAATTGAGCAAAGTTTTGGAGAAGAACACTGGCTTCCAAACAATGAAGAAAATCTCTAGGATACTAACAGGTGAAGCAACAACTTTTCAAATTGAAGAAGAATTATCAGTAAGTGAGACCGTCTTTTTCAAGTACGCACCATTAACATCAGTGGACGTTGAAAGAAGCTTCTCCAGGTATAAAAATTTACTTTCGGACAAGAGACACTCGTTTACATTTCAAAATATCAAAAAACATTTAATAATCCAATGTAATTCTGATATTTAGTAATATTATTATATGTAAGTTGTTATATTCATTAAAGTTTCTATACAAAATGAAAATGCTTTGGAGTCAATATATTTTCCTTTTTTTTTTGTTGTTATTTTAGGATATAAAATATTTTTCAAACTTTATTGAAAGTAGAACATTTATTGCATTGCTTTATAGTTTTTGAAATGACTCATAATTTTAAAGAGTAAAACATTGTTTTAGTTCGATACTTCTACTTTATTTAAGTCATGTCATAAGGCATTTTTAGCACAATTTTCGCATTTTTAAGGGCATTTTTTACACTTTTTAAGAGCAATTTTTGCATTTTCTAAGGGCATTTGTTCAGATTTTTTTAGGTAATCAAAATCCGGGCTCTAATGATAACACTTTTGTGAATTGATATCGTATTGATGAAATTCATAAGAAAAGCATTCATAGAAATTTTTTTTACTTGTGTGTTTGAACAATGCATGTGTTATAAAAAAAGGGGAAACCCCGTCAATGAAATATCCTCAGTTTTGTAATATTTTAAAAAAATAGAAAAGACAACAAAAGAAAAATTTAAAAATAAATTAAATAAAATTTGAAAAAGTGATAAATAAGTTTCTACGGAAAAATTTATTTCTGTTTTGTGGTTTGATATAATTTATTTCTGCTTAATAAGATGATTTTGATAGAAATGATATTCTAATTGTAGATTTAGATTTTGTTTCTCAATTTTAACTATTCATAATTCTAATTTGTATTACAAATTGAACAAATTTGCTGCATTTCCTGAGGAGAATTGTGTTAGATTATTATTATTTAATTAATAACTTTCGGATTTTTATCAAAACAAAAGTGAATGATTTATAAATTTTGATATTTTTATGTATCAAGCTTATTTGAATATTTTGATATTCTTCAAAACACCTATTTTCGGTGCAACCTTTTACTGATATTTGGTTCTAGTAAAAATACCAATTTTTGGTGCAACGTTGCTCAAAATATTTAACAGTGTACAAAATCGTCGTTTTTAAGATTATTTACTTTAAACGGGGGAGGGGATGTAGGCGGAGCAACCACAAAGGCTGGAACTTACTGAAGAAGATTCTTAATCACAGTGCATCTTTATGGCATGATAGTTTTTACATTTTTTTTCCTTAAAGGTTGGCAGCTTTTTTTACTTATTTAAAGTTTATTCTACTATATACTCCTAAAACTATTGTGATTGAAATTTAGGTAAAATTCATCTTGGTTTGTAAAAATCTGATCATTAGATAGAAAATTATTCAGATTTTTTTTCGAATTTCATATAGATCACTGTTTTGTCTATCTACTGAAAAATAAGATTTTGCTGGAATTCTTAACCCTTTTGAGTAATTTTCCTTGTTTTAAGGGGCAGAAAAAAAATCGCGAACTCAAATTAATAATTATCATTTAAAATTCATAATTCATTCATAATTTCAGATCATAATCATTATTTCAAATTCATAATTCATTCATAATTTCAGTTCATAATTATTATTTCAAATTCATAATTCATTCATAATTTCAGCTCATAATTATTATTTCAAATTCATAATTCATTTATAATTTCAGTTCATAATTAATATTTCAAGTTCATAATTCATTCATAACTTCAGCTCATAATTATTATTTCATTCATAATTTCAGTTTATAATTATTATCATATTCATATAAATATTGGGATGTCTTTTTGCTTATAATATGAATTGATGAATTCTAATAGTTTTAAGGGTCACTTAATCCTCCTTAAAAATTATGTGCTTATTCTTCGTTAAAAAAGATAACATTCTTTAAAAAGATAACATTATTTAACTTTCTTGATATCAATTATCGCAGTCTGAACGACAATTATCTAGAAATACTTCATTGCTTTCAAGGTAGCCATCTTAAATAATAACACATTTTAATCTATTTACGCAATTTATTTTTCTCCAATAAAACATTTGGCTCCATTCGTCTAGGCTATATCTGATACAGATCGAAAAAAGAAAAAATAACGCACCATACGTTCTCCCCACCCGTAACAGAGGCTATATCTCCGACATAAAGAAGCAGTGGATTTATAAAATTAGTTTAGGTAATTATGATTTGATTTCTCTGAAATGTACGAATTAAATGGTTTTTCTTAATGTACCATTAAAATAATATGATTTTGAATGTTGCAAATTTTTCGAACAAAAAATATCTACTTATTTTGAAACATTTTGCTCTAATTTAAAAATTGCTTCTGATTTTCTAAAATTCTACTTCCTCTGAACAAACATTCCTTTTTTCGATGAATTTAGATTTCTGACCTTTAAAATACGGGAGGCAGTTTCAATCCGAAAAAAGCTTCCCAATATCCTTGGTAGGACAATAGTCGAAAGTTTGGAACCCTTACTGATAATTTTATTTCCTGTATATTTGCCATATCTACAAAACTTTTTAAACGAATCAAAAACAGTTGGGATAGTAAAATTTTATAGTTGTGGGCAAAAATGATTACATGCAAAAAAAATTATTATTTTTTATATTATATAAATATTTTTAATGAATTTAGATTTCTGACTTTTAAAATACGGGAGGCAGACGCAATCCGGGAAAAGGTGTCCCAATATTCTAGGTAGGACAGCAGTTCAAAGTTTTCACCCCTTAATGATGATTTTACTTCTTGTATATTTGCTATATCTCCAAAACTTTTTAAACGGATCGAAAACTGTTTAAATAATAAAATTTTACAGTGGTGGGCAAAGATAATTCCTTGCAAAAAATTTTTTTTAATTTTAAATGGCAAAATACAAGATTTTTACGAATTCGGTCGAATAGTTCTTGAGTAGGACTGGGTGACATAAGAAATTTTATATCGTGATGCATCGTCAGTTTTGTATCGCGATATAGCGATGTATGGCGATATAGTATTTTTGAAATTCATTTACTTGTAAGGCGCAGAAAGTCGGATTTCTATCAAAACTTCATACTCAGATTGATTTAAATCAATTTATGAATTTGATGTATATGTCTTGCTTAAGAAAGATATTAATGTTATATTTTCTAAAAATGATCGCACAAATAACGAAAAATTTCTTAGTTTAAAAATAAATAATAAAAAAATAAATAAAATTGAAATTTATCAATATATTTACCTAACAATATAGAAAGAAAATTTAAAAAATAAGTTCGTTAAAAATTATTTGTATGCACAAAGTGCTAAATAAATTAAACATACAAAAAACTTTTAAAACACTATTTTTTTATCATTATTATT